TAAAAGCAGAGAATAGAGTTGATAAGCATAGATGAGGAAAAGTTGCTCTGGGGCAGGAAGAGAAGGGACCAATGCTGAGATGCTGCAGGGCCCAGGATAAAGGATCAGGGGAGGGCATGGGTGAGCTGGGGCTCCTTTTCCTTGCCATAAGCTCTCCTGCCTTCCTTAATAAAGCCTTGGTCTCCCCATCAGGTCAGCCTTCCCTCATCCTCACCCCTGGATCTTCTTTTCCCAACCCTTGGCTCCTGCCTTAACCTCCCTTTGTTGCCCCCTGAGAACAGTTTTTTCTGCCCAATTCTTCCAGCACTCTCCAGTAGCTTTATTTCTCAGTTCAACTTCTGCTTCCGCCAAGCCCCTTTTTTGCCTCCTCCCTTTCACCCCCTCCCCCATCCCAAGCAACACACACACACACACACACACACACACACACACACACACACCCCTTCTCTTCCCCGCCCTTGCTGGCACCCAACATAGCACTCCAGATGTAGGAGGAGATCAAAAAGGGTGGGGGTGGTGGCTGTTGCTTTTCTGAGATATTCTTAGCCTGTCTGGAGGCTGGAGCTGGAATCAGCGTTTCCATCTCAACCAGGCAGTTGGCTGCAGGGAGGCTGCTGCTGTGACTGGGTCTTCCTCTAGTTCTTTGTCCCTCTCCCTGTCCCCATGTCCTCCTCTGTCTCAATTCCACTCTGTGAGCATAGACCCTCCATGAGTCCTGCTTTCCCACCCCTGTGCCCAGGCCTAGGGGGTACCTTCTGCTGTGGCCTCGCCCCAATGAATTCTGAAAACCCTGCTCTGGGAGACTCTTGGGACCTTCAAGAACTCTAGCATTGTCATCAGCCTCTTTGGAGGGATCCATTGGAGAAATGGAGGTGCAATGACTTTGGGTTCTGGGATCTCTGGTCTTCAGGTTTACTGGGGAGACCCTGGACCTCAGCCATGTTGGCATCCTGTCCTTCGCCTCGCCATCTTTCAGGGACCCCTCTGAAGCATTGCTGAGAGCCTGAGTACGCCTCCCGTTTGTCTCCTGGGCTGAACTGCAGAAATGCAGGCCTCACACGGATGCTGTGCACACAGAGACTGAGTCCATCAGGCAGAAACAGACCAGGGAGAACCAGACAGGGCTGGAGCTAGAGAGGGAAACAGATTCACAGCACAGATTAATTTTGAATCAGATTCGTGGATTAGAAGAGACTTTAGGTATCATTTTAAGTTCAGTCCCCAAGATGTTATCTTATTCCTTTAGTATTAATTTTTATCTGATAATAAAAGTAAAATATATAGTTTCTACATTTTAATGTGAAGAAAGGGAGGCCAGAGAGCTGAAATGACTTCCCCAAGTCATACCGTTTATAAGCCCTGGACTAGAACTCCTGCCTCCTAGACTATGTATGGACTCTCAGAGAGGGAGATGAAAACAGCCAAAGGGCATAAGAGTTTGAGCTGCATTGCCTGGAGATATTCCCTTAAAGGTAGGGTTCATCTTCCCAGAGATGGGGGTGGGAGGAGTCAGTGAAAGACTCATCTCTACAGTGAAAGTACAATTCTCCAATAAGGCCATGTTCCTACACAGGCTAAAACCTTGATCTAGGTCCTCCATTACTTGATCTAGGCCTACAATTCTGGTCTTAAAGAGCCTTCAGGAATAACTGCTTATCTGGACAGGGCATTGTTCTCCAAAGTGATGGAGACAGACAAGGGGTTTCTCATCTAAAGGAGTCTAATCCAGCCAGCACTGTCCCAGAGGAGTGTGTCAAGCCTGTCAAAACTCAACGGCTAACAGAGGCCAAATAAACAAGGTTTAAGTTTGTGTGCGCTGCAAAAAAAGCAAAAGCTTCAATTTTCATAGAAACTTAGATTTATTTCGATAGAGACATGCTGAATACAAATGTTCTAGTCTAGAACATTTTAATAATAATTAATATTTTTTCTTGAACATTAACTTACCGGACACTGAATAACCACAGATTAATAAGCATAACGCAAATAAACCTATTTTTCTTGTTCTCCGAAAGCAAAATATTTCCTGTTGTGCACACCAAACAAGTCAGTACAAGACTAATGACATGGCAGTAGGCTGCTAAAATATTCGCTGCTAGTATTAGTGGAAAGAAATGGTGCGCCTGTGCATAAGGCACGTAAGGGAAATAAATGCAACACCATTATAGTAATCAGCCATTAGCGAATGTTGTAGTTCATTATTAATAATTATGTATAGCAGGATATTGAAAAATTAAGTTACAAAATTTTTATTAAAATGTCTCTTACATACTGTTATATTGGCTGGGCCGCAAAAATATTCCTTGTGGGCCGCAAGTTTGACATGTTTGGTGTATGTCCCTGGGAAATGGACAGACCAGAACCGACATACAGATAAATGCATCAGTTACAGAATATAGACCTGAAATGTAACCCAACCAGAAAAGTAGACTTGTGGTTGTGGCGGGGACGTCATTGTCCTTCTGTAAAGCCCGCCTTCTCATCAAGTCTTTCTGGTTTCACTACGCTTAGCCCTCTAGGCCTCCACTCTGTATAGAGGCATAATCTCCCTCTCTCCTCCCTTAATATCTCTAGCTTTTTAATAACAGAAATGCTATCGCTCTTTAAGGATTAGTTTTGATTATTTTGTCTGCTTTTTTAAAAAAAATGTCACCCATATCCATCCTGCACATCTTGGACTGGGGACTCAGAGCCCAGCCCTTAACCAAGTTGTTATGTAGCAGCTGCTGCTCAGGAGAAGAGGTTAAAAAGACTGATGTCGGAAAGAGCATTAGGTCCCTTCCAATTAGTCCAAAAAAGGCTTCTTGGAGGAGGTAGAATTTCAAGGGCTTGACTGGAGAAGGCAAAGTAATGTTTATTTTTGAGGGTGTCTGGCCCAGTAGTAGGAATTTGAGATTCAATAGAGATAACCACACTAGGTGGAGAGTGGGTGAGCCAGAGAGTGGGTATGAGGCAGGGTAAGGTGAAGAATGAGAAAGGGAAGTGTGACCTTTTAAGATACTTGATCTGGGGACCCTGATGCAGAGGAAGAGACTCTTGATTCTGACCCAGAGGACAACAGGAGGTCACTGCTGGGCCTGTAGTGAGGGTACCATGGTGGTGACATCTGTGGGTACTGCATAGAAGAGCTTGTCCTAAACGACACCAGCAGTAGGGTTACGTCAATGAAGGACTCTGGGGAGCAGAGCTGGGAGGACCCACGTGCCATTCAGATCCATGTGTCTGGTGTTTCTGCCAGTGCAACTCAGTCTCTATGGGGCCTGATAAAGGCTGACTCAGAAGGCTTTGTAGGAAAAAGTGGGACCAGTTCTAGGAGCTGAAAAAAGGGAGAATGGGGAAATTGAGCAGGTCAGCTTAGGCTGTGAGAGAATAAAGATCAGATCTAAGGGAGCAAAAGAGACCCTGATGAGACCATGCTCATGGGTGCTGAGTCAGGGAGGGGTATAAGTCTGCATGTGTACAGTGGAATCAGATAGGGAACCAAGACAGGCAGACCACGGGCCTCCAGGTGTGAGTAAGCTGGGATTGTAAGACAGCTGAGAAAAGCTGGTGGCAGGAGCTGCAGCCTAAGGGGATTCTGGAACAGCCTATCTGGAATGAACCACAAGCTCATGTGCATACACACCAACCCTGACACCAGTGGATGCTTGGAGCTGTGTTGGTGGACTGTGAGGAGCATGGAGGTGACTCCAGAGACAATTCTGAAGATTTGGCTGAATTCATAGGTAGGGGCTTCTCTTGCCAACCTACCCACCATCAAGGCCCACTTAAGAAGCTAAAGACTTGGGCCCTAGCCAGTTTTCTCAGTGGGTAGAGTGTCGACCTGCAGACCAAAGGGTCCTGTGGTTTGATTCAGGTCAAGGGCACATACCTTGGTTGCAGGCTCCAACCTATTCAATTTCCAGCATTGCCCCATGGACCAACCATCCATCACCCACTCAAGTGTGGGGTCAGGGTGTGTTGGTGAGGATGAAGAGCACGAGAAAAGCCATCCAGAGACCAGAACCCCAGGACCTCTCCCCACAGAACTCAACTACAGAGAATCAGGCCAGAGAACTAGGCCTCAGGGACATATATGAGGGTCTTGTGGTCCCTATAGCAAGGGCCCCCAAGGAGAATTGTGACCTTCAGGAGAACCCAGGCCCTGCCAGCACCCCATCACAGGCAGAGCAAAAATGTGCCTACTGCAGCTCTCTGTGGTGGCCTCGTGAGGAGGTAAGGTAGGGGAGAAGATCTAAGAGGGAATAGGTCAGACAGCCCAATTGAAGGAGTCAGTGCAGTAAGACCCCGCCGAAGCCAGAGCGCCCTGATGACTATGCTGCCACCAACACATAATCAAAAGGGGAGGCTGTTCCCATGGCTTCTCTTCTACCTCGATTCAGTGCATCAAAACAAGCTGACCCATGTCTCTAAGACCTGTATAGGGAGGTGGGAGCGGCCACTCTTCCTCCCCAGCTCAGACCCTACGGGGGTCCTCGAACGACCGCCACGTCCTCCTCCATACCCCTTGCTGGTGTAGGGAAAGGACCAGCAAGAGAGGGTGGAGGTGGGCGGGACTTGTAATTGGCATGTGAGATTCGATTGGTCAAAAGAGCTGCCGATTAGGAGGGCAGCTCGGGCGAGGATTGGCAGCGTGAAGCGGGGCGCGGCGCAGCGAAAGAAGAGGCCCTAGGGGTGGGGGCTGACGCTGCAGCTGGCGCAGCTCAGACTCCGAGCAGCAGTCGCCGAGCAGCAAAGCAACCGGGCTTTCCCCGCCCGTTCCCGCGCCCCGGTCGGGGCTAGGCCCCCCCGCCGACGGTTCCCCGAGGGCTGCGGCAGCAGCGGCGGCGGCAGGCGGAGCCGCCCGTGGTTCCCGCTGGGGCC